AAAGTTTTGTAATATCACCAAAGAATTTTTTTGGGTCATGTCGAAGCTTTAAGAAAATAACCTGGCGGCAGTTTGGGGTGCCTTAAAGATATGGAATAGTTTTTATCTATATGAGTATGAAGTTGTTGTCATTGCTAATGAAAATTTACATTTTGTCTGCAAGAAGGATTTTTTATGGAAAAAAACGATAGAGTGTTTTTTCTAGTATGTTTAAAACTACTATTTGACAGAATGTATAGAAATTGTTGTGTGCAAATTTGAAGTAAAAGTTGACTAGTGATACTACTTCAAAATATTACTTATCACTGGAGGGGAAGTGTAAGGAATTCGGTTTTGACGCCGGATTTTTTTCTTTGATTCGTGCTGCGGTGAAACGACCATTGAGGGTTTGTTGAGGAACAGTGATTTCTGATTTCACTATCATGCTTCCCCATTTCGTTTCTATCATATGCACTACTACACTTTTATTTACAAATTCTTGAAAGCTGAACTGATGTGTGGCCGAGCTTTACGTAGCCGTCAGCTTGCAAATATGAATTTTCCTCTATGTTCTTCGCTCCTTCCACTTTCAGTAAATAATTGTGCAGGAAATTACTTCTGGGCATGAAAATTAAGGAAGATAAATCATCTACCTTACAGTATGCTAAAGCCGAACTTGTAGCTAGAAGAGTGGAGGGTGTTTTAATGTGGTATAGGTTTATTCAGACTATAAAATTAACATTTATTCCTGTTTTGGTAGCTTGCTTTCTTATCAGGAGATATCACCACTAAAAGGTCAATTATTATATTGTAAGATTTTTAAGGATTTTGAGGGAACTTGACAGTTTTGTCTTACCGAAACAAAAGTGGTCCTGTGGAAAGGGGAAACCAAAATTTTTCTTCTTTTTTAGTCGTAAAATTTGCATTGCAAATGTTCACTGTAAAGGCATTTGTTTTTTATTGAGCAACTTTTGGGGAACCTCATTTCTCGAAGTTCTTCTTCATTAGTGCGGTAAATACAAGGAAGTTTATTTAACTGTTCTTTTTTTTAGAAAATGCAATTAGAAATAAAACAGAGTCGGTCCCCAAAAAAGATTTTTGATTGAGCTTTGCTTAGTTTGCAAATGAGCAGCTTTTTTATTTGTATTTGAGGTGTCTTAAAAATTTTTGTACCTTATTTTTTCTTTAATTTTTTGGTAGGCAAGATTGAACATAGAGCATTTGTTTTACTTTTTCGGGAGGGACGGGTATAACAAACTTTTCTTGTAATTTTTTTTGATGTTATTTCTGCTGTTTTCTTTAGATTTTTTGTGCGTTATGCTTATTTTTTTTTCTCCTTTGTAGCTCGGGGTAATTATAATAGAATCGGTGTCTTAACACCTGCTCAGAATACGAAGTATTTCCTGGTGGTTGCTGCTTTTATGATTAGTTTTTTTGGAGTAAATGTCTATTTTTAGAATGTTATATGAAATTAAGTGAAATTTTTTTTTACTGATTCAAAGACTCGTTTTTTACAATATGTCAGTTGCATTCAGCTTAAGGTGATTGTTTGGCTTCAAGCTGATTTGTTCTCTCTAACTAATTCTTTGTTTTCAAATTCTTCCAGATATGTTTGGCAACTTGCGAATGGATGGTCTTCTGCAGCAGTTAATATCTAACCCTGCAGTCATTCAGCAAATTATTCAAAGCGAAGGGATGACCAATTTAGCTCAGATGATACAGCATGATCCTTCTTTAATTCAAGCAGTAAGCTTTTTGGTCGTAGATCTAGAATAAGTTTTACTGTAAGGTTAAGTGCTAATTCTTATTATTTTTCTGTCTTCTTGTTTTTTATGAATGATCTTCTTTTGCAAGCTTCAGATAAAACCTAAAGTCCACCTGCGTCAAATGTTGTAAATTAGTTTTGATTGTAATTTTTTATTCACTAATAATTGGTTGAGCTGAATTACATTTTATTTGTTTCAAACAGCTTAATTTGTTGTTGCCTCTTTCTCTCTTAGGCACTAAGTTCCAACCCTATGTTTGCCAATAATCCTGCCCTTCAGCAACAACTTCAAACCGCGATGCCTCAGATAATGAACTTGGTATTTTTATGACTCTTCCTTCTTGTTGCTAAATAATTTAGTACATTAGTGTTCCCTTTCCTTGTCCAAATTTTCGGGTTATTTAGCTTCGTCGACCGGAAACAATGCAAGCTTTTATGAATCCAAGAGTTATAGAGGCTTTCCACCAAATTCATCGAGGTTTAGATACACTGAGAAGAGAAGCGCCTCAAATTGCTTCGTTATTAACGCCACCGTAAGGATTTAGTGAATTTGAAACAACACGATAGCTTATTGGTGTTGCTTTTTCTAATAAAATAGTTTTTTTTGGGTCGTAACCTGGTAGTTGATAAACAGTGTTTGTAAATTAACCATAGTTTAAATCTGCTTCTTTGAAGCTGCTGGAAGTTCCTGCTTTTCTTCTTTTGATGATATGAGGAAACCAGTTCCGTTTTTTGAGTTTTTTCAGATGTGGATACTGGCTTAAGGCAGAGGACTGTTTAATAATATATTATCCTTCTGCTTATTTTTTATTGTATTATAGAGTTGATAGAAGTAATACTTGGAAACCTTCTGTTACAATTTTTTTCAGATTTGCTTCACTTAGTACATCTTCCACTACTTCGAATGCCGATTCGAATGTGTAAGTTCAAATTTTCCGGCTTTTGTCAAAGTTTGAAGGTTTTCAAAAAAGTTGCTATTTATTGTCTAGTTTTACTCTAATCATATTTTTTTGAATACAAAGATTAGGAACTAAGGGTGGGTTAGTGCTCACCCTATAGTCTTCAGTTTTTTTTCGGTGAAGGTAGATCATAATGAGTTGGTTCATTTTGTCATCTTGTAATTTTATAATTTTCTATATTATTATTTTACTGAAACTGTATGAAAATGAAGGATTTTAGGGCGGAAGATAAGGAGTGTTCTGTTTAAATTGTGCTGTTCAGCTTTGAAACATTTTGGATCTGTTTGATATTTGTCATTACTAAATAAGCATTCGGCTTCTTCGAGTGGGAGGAGTGTAACATGATTTGATTGAGTACTGCGGGTATTGTTTTCGAGGTGTGCGTATGAAGTTGGGTATTTTTTCATTAGCATGAGTGATTTTAGTGGTACATCTCCGCCTACGACCACTACTGCTTCTGATACGCCAAACCCTCGGGCCGACATGGATCATCTAACTACTATGCTTAACATCATTAATCAGTTCACAGGAGCCAATTTAGTAAACTTTTTCGTTTCTTGTCACATTTATTTAATATTCCTCTTTTCTATTAATTGAGGGGTACGAGATTAGGGCGGTAGTTTACATTGAGGGTGTTATTTTTTTGGTGGTAAAATAATAGCCATTGATTTAAAGGCTTGAAATACTTTTGTTGTCCTTGATGGCTCCTTACCAGTGCTTATTTAGAACGATAACTCATCTGTGCAACCTCCGGAAGAACGTTTTCGAGCTCAGCTGGAACAGTTGACAAGTATGGGTTTCAACAACCGGGAAGCTAATATTCAAGGTGAAGCTCTCGAAAGAGTTTTAGAAAATTTTATTTTCATGGTTGTGTTTATAAATGTCGTTGTGTTATTCTCTTGGTTTTTTGTCATTTTTTTAGGTTTTCTTGAGTGCTTTAGGTTTTTCATTTTAAATTTTGGCTCAAGAAAATTGGAATTTTGCACTGTTTTTATAGTTTTTCAGCTTTGCTGGCTACTTTTGGTGATGTCAATGCGGCAATTGATCGTTTGCTCAGCGGACCGCCGCAATAATATATTGACGCGTTCCCCATCCGATTTCTGAGATGTACTATATAAGTTAGTTTATGTCCAGAACCTGTGGATATTAAAAATGTATTTGGCAGAAAAAATGTAGGAATGGTTCGATTTCTTCTTTTTTTTGTGGTCTTCGCTGTTTATTTTGTGTGTTCAGTGGTTTATTCGAAATTGTCTCATAAAGTTTCCTTTTGTTTACTTAATATTGTATTCATTTATCTGAATTGACGAAGACCTACTTCATTTGTATTTTTTGAACGGTTTTTTTTTTCTGTTTTATTGGTTGTATGCTGTATTTTTTATTTTGCACGTTTGGTTAAAACTGCTCATCTCTGTAAGTTTACTGATGAGTGTTCGTTTTTAAATTTAGTGATTTGTCTGTAACTTTCTGAACTTTGAATTTCTGATCGGAGAGGTAGTTGTGTTATGCTTTTTGATGGATGTTGTTTATTTTGTGCATAGAGCACCTTTTCGTACCTTCCTCTCTCTAAACTCCATACTTCTAGAAGCCGTTAAATTTTTTTTGAGGTATTGGTGTGCGTTATTTACCCAGTATCTTAGGAGATAGAAGACTTTGTTTGTATAATATATGAAAGTTTCAAATTTGATATTTAAAGACATTTTCGTTATTTACTTTGTCTTTTGTGTAAGTCGAATAAGGTTATGGTGAAATTCGCCTTTTGCTGAGTCGGTAGGTAAATCTGTGATACAGAGTGCCCATGAGTGATGGACCACATTTTGGCGTCCTGTTAACTACACACTAGTACCTTTTTTGCACTGATGACTCTGTGGATTCCCTGTTGGTAAAATTGTTTTATTTATTCGTTTTCTTGTTGGTTGGTGTTGGTGACAGTTCAAGCCAGAAATTCAACAAGATTGGTACAAGCTGTTTGGTCGTACACTGTAAAAAAAAGCCAGAAATTTATCTTTGTATGGCTCTCCTCATAAAGCAACACTTCTTATTTCCAACGAGCAAGTGTTTTTTAATTTTAGAAAGGTTTTCAGGACTTGTTGAAGATTCTTCATCAGCAGTTTAGGTTTTTTTCGATTATAATTGTTATATCTGTTGGCTGTTTTCAGGAATGGCCGCCATAATTGATTTTACTGCTATAAAATTTTTCGCCACCTTGATCTTAAGAGATTAATAAATTGATTTTTGTCTTTCTTTTTCTCAGCCTTTACAGACATAAGAGGGTGATTATCAGTTGATTCGAAATCTTTTGCTTTCTGGAAGTCGATTAGGGCAACTCATAGTAGATATTGTTGTTGCTGTTCAGAGCACAGCTGTGCTGGTGGAGTAGTAACTTTTAAAGAACTAGGGATTGCAATGGGCGTTAGAGCTAGTTTCGCTTACATTTCTTGTGCTTCTGCCGATAAAAGCTCTATTTCATTCGCAGTGCTCCGGAGGAGCATGGTGATCCGACTGTCCTTCAGAGTGTTGCTCGGTTTGTCAGTGTATGCAGTGTGGTCAGTTGCTGCTTTTTGAATGACCACTGACTGCGAAGGTTTTTTGCTGAAAACCTGCAGTGAGCTTGGGTTCCGTTGTTAACGGTGTCTGAGTTGGCGCGGAGAGTAGCTTTTTTTCCTTTGGCAGCTCGCTTTAATTTCCTCTGGGGATTCTGTCTTTTTCTTCACTGCTGTTTATAGTAGTGTTGGTTTTAATGTGTACGTAAGCGATTGGTACGTTTTCGCAGTCATTTTTGGTGTTGTTTTAACGGTAGTTTTGCTTTTGTAGGTTTTTGAGGTTTTTGTGCAAAGGTTGAGTGGATGTTGTGTTTTCTAAGATTTGGCAGTTAAGTAGAGTGGATTGTAGAAGTCTACACATACATTTAATAGACAAGAAAAGAGGTTTACAAAGCGAGCACCATAGATTGCAGGGATTCTAGTGGCTGCTATCAATGCTGTATAGAAAATCATTCAGTAAAAAGTGTTAATTACGTAACACTGGTTGCTAGTGAGGTCAGTAACGAGTGTATTGTTTAGTTTTAAGTCTATTTTTATGAGAAAAGTATGTGATCAGCATGACTGGTGGAAACTTTAGGTGGTGAAGAAGGAAGTGAATTGAGGATGAATCAATCCAAAAGGGCAATTAAGCAGGGAAATTAGCAGACGGAGAGGATTTTTACTGTGAAAAACTTACAAAACAACGCATTTTACTAGTGTTTGCGGTAAAACTGCAAAACAAAGAAGAAATCTATAATTATTTTTAGAATACCTGTAAGGAGTATTGTTCGTTTTGCCACCCTGTCCCAGTCAGTTTTTACCCATGTCTTACAAAACTACTATTGACTTGTAATTTCCCTATTCTCCGGTTGCTTGCGAGTCCCTAAACGGGAAACAGCCTCAAGGACGTCAGTCGTCCTAAGCATAGTCTGAACAGTAATTCGTAAATGCCGAATACTATAGAATGTAATGGGTGAATAGTTTGGAAAATCATACCTTCGGTGCACTTGGATTGTTGCGGTCGTTCTCTTGTCGGAAGTAAATTTAATCTGTAGATACGTGATTCCACCTGAGGACATACCAACGGTTGGAGAAGTTATAGTACCGCTAACTGATTAAACAAACTGAGTAATACTAGCTGTTCAAAAGAATTTATCATTTGTTATGGAACCGTGTATGCAACATTGAATGATGTCATATATAAAAGCGATTGACTTTAAACTTGCGATTCAAATATCGACAAGCATTGTATTCATTTCTCTGTTTGGAAACTGTGGTAAGCCCTATCGAACAATAAGTACTATAAAAAATTGCCTTCTGCACTTGTCCATTCTTATTCTGACCGTAGTGGAAATTATAGAGAGAGTAAATTTTTCTTGGTTGTCGGATGCTTTAGTTTCATCTGCAGCTTTTTTGATGTTATGTTAAATATTACGGACAGTAGTTGTTCAGGTACACTGAAACGAAATATGACGCTGCAAAAACAGGGATGTAACTGTTACTAAAATTTTTAATGAAATTTTTGTGAAATTCTACTGCCACGAAGAGTGTGTAATCTTTCTAGCTGTTTTGGATTTGTCTTTATAACGAGTTTTCAGAGACTTTGAATCTCAGTTTATTAACATTTTTAAGTTAGAGATCGTTTGTGGTGTAGGAACCGAGGGTGTGGGCACCACTTTAGTAGCTTGGTTTGAGCAAAAAATGGGCGATTTATCGGCTATTTGTTAAAAGCAATCAAATGGTTAGCCGGTTACAATCTCGTACGCACTGCGGATGTTAAATCAAATAAATATTTTCTCCAAGATGGGGTCTACTGAAAAATGGCAGTTGAATTTGCACGAATAATTATTTATTGTTTTGAAGGTTAGAAAGGAGAGGAAGATTTGAAGTATTTTTGGCTTTTGATAAGGTTTGAGAAAACTTTCACTGAAAAGCTTTAATATGTGGCTTTTTTACACTGAACCAGTCAGGTCACCCACGAGATGTTTAAATATTGTTCCAAATTTCAGTGATATTATTGGTATACTATGGAATTCATAATTTATTTGTTGTCTTTCTTTTCGGTATTATATTTTCTAAATTATTATACAAATTATATTAATAGAGTTGGAGATATACAGATTTTCGCTCAAATAGATAAAGTTTTGTTTGTTGCTTTTTTTTTTTTTTTTGAGAGAGAGAGAGAAAAGGGAGATGGAAAGCTTACGCTCGGCAGTAAGTTCAGCTTTTTCAATTTTAATGCTGAGACCATCTGAATAGGCTTTTTAAATCACAGTCCGTCATTTTGTACATGAAGTGGGTCGTTGATAAAGCAAAGCTCAAATAAATTAAAATCTATTTTCCGGAATCCAGCTTGCAACTGCAGTACTTTTTTTTGTGAAACGCTTCTGAACATTTTTCAACCTGCACAGATTGATTACCTTTACTTAAAAGACCGTAGTAAACTAACAACCCAAAATAAGCACTTTGCAGAGATTAATGTAAGAAAATTGTTTCACAGCAAAGATTTCTAAAAATGTGATTTACAAGCAGCTAGTGTCTCGGGATTTATCGCTGAACTGTTGACGAATAGAACAATTGGAGCTAATCACAATACCAAGATCATGGACAACTTGTATTTTATACGAGAAACAATCGCTGACTTCACAGTGGGGCCAAGTATGTGTCTAATTTATTTAAATATTTGACATTTGAGGAAAGTGGCAAATAAATGGATTTTTAGGTCAAGCCAAAATGTAAACTTTTACTGGTTAGCGTCTTTTAATTTGTTGTCATTTGAATTATCTTTTAGAAATGATAGTCGGCAATAGTTTAACAGGCTTTCTTGTAAACGTGAAAGCTACTGGACAGGAGCCGCTTGCTACTTGAACTCTGCGGACGAAATAAGTTTTAATCCATTACGGTGTTCTGCTGTTGAAATATTTTGTCAGTAAATAGTTTACCAAATTTTGGTAGGAGAGTATTGTATTGGTTCATAGTAAGTTTTGGTTGGTGCTAGATTAAGTCAGTTTGTGGAAGAAATTGCTGGCGAGGAATCAGCGAAGCTGTAAGCATTATTATTTTCGCCATTGGTTGTTTGATCTGTGTCTGTGATTTATTGATGTAAACCATATGGAAGTAGTAAAAAGATGTTTCGTGTTGATTTAGAGCACTGCAGTAATCGAGGTTTTAGCTTGTTTTCAGTAACTGTAAAATATGTTAATGTTTTTTTTAACTGTCATGTATTAAATTTGAAAGTTTGAGGGGATTCATTATAATAATTTTCATTTACTTTCTTCAAATTTAATCGTTTTTAGGATGGTCAAAACTTTTAAACAGGTTTTACCTGTGATTTTCTGTTTGATCTCTTTCTTTCCTCGAAAATACGGATAAGCAGCATTTCGGGAAGGAAAAAGACGAGTAAATTACAAATATAACTGAAACGAGTTTGAGAAAGTAGCAGTTATTGATACCGTCAAAATATCACCAATTCAAAATTGGTAATGACTTGCAGAGTTCCAGTTTTTCAGTTTTGCTGTTCTAAATTGAACTTTCAAAGAATAAATTTTCCCACA